TTAAACAAATCTTGTTTGGGCCAATAAAATCGCTAGTTGAAAATTGCCAAAAAAGAATTGGGTTCGAATTTGAAACGCTCAAACATGAATAATTTTTCTGCTTTCGACAGCAACGAAATATTTGGCTCAAGAGGCTGATAATTCACACCAGACGGTGCCTTTTCAGGATGAAAATATCTCATTTAGTGGAAAACTCATCAACAAATATTTTATCCCTAAATTACAAGATTGCTATCACATCATTATTATTGTTTCATTTGAGGGTTAATTTTTTGTCTGTGATTATTAGACAGCCTAAAACTACTATCCTTTGTTTCGCATAAAACAAAGATTTTTCGGGAGCAAAATACGTATGGGAGTATCGAATAACGAAGGAGTAGTGCTAGAAATGACGTTTCTTGCGTGTACAGAGAATGCAAATTTTTTTGAACTGCTAAATCTATTTTTGCCACAAAAATTTTTCATCTCGATGCACTCTCTGCATGTTTTGCACAAAAAAATCATTTTTTGATTATTGGATTATGGGGTCTAAAAATAAGAAACACTTTTTATCTATGTCAACACTAATTGAAAAATCTCCAAGACTCTAAACAGTCAGGAGGTAGTTGACACTATGAATATCTACGAGAGACTAAAGATGGTTGCTAGTGAGGCCCAGGGTTAATATAGACCCAAGAGGGCAATATAATTCCACCCCCTGAAGCAAACGCTCGGTTTCCCTCTTGACCCCGCCTGGACGCCAGCTGTATTTGTGGGAAAAACCCACATTTGGGAAAAACCCATCAGTAAAAGTCCCGAGAGAACTTTTCCCCATTTTACATTCTCAGGGAAGACCCCATGGCAATATAAAGCAATAAACCTTTCCTTAACATAAAAGAACTTCGGAGAGTGAATTTTGATCTCGGGGAAAACCCCGAAATCCGACATTGATAATTTTCAAAAAAACTATTTTCTTGGCACAAGTAAGACTTGTCTGAGAACTTTGTCGTTTTTCTTTCAGTGCATAATTGGTATTGTTTGGGAGTACATCTGGGCGAAATTTCAGCTCAATCTGTTTAGTAGTTTTTAAAATACAGCGATTTCGAAATTTTTTTCTTTTTTCAATATTTCGAAAACTATTGCACCAAATGAGCCTTTTTGGCGTTAAAATATTCCTTATGATATTGTTGTATTCAATTAAGGAAGATGGGACACAACAAATAAAACGGTTAGGGCGGTTTATTGAAAAAATGATGAAGAGTAACACAGGATGATGATGTCTTGAGATCAATTTCCAAAGATAAGAACGCATCTTGATGTTGATAAAATGACTGTCGTTCCTATAGGGGCTTCTCTCGATGTCCAGATTATTGACAAAAGAAAAGGGATTCGAAGCGGGATACACAACAATATCTATCGAATTAGACCATAATAGGCCTAGTTAACTATTGCGAGTCGCCCAGTAATTGACATTTTTCATTTTTGTGATAAAATTGATGTGAACACGATAACGTTTAACAAAATTGAGATAGGAAGTTAAAATTTGATAGGATTCTAGCTTTTACTATATTACAGGCTGAGATTTCAGATGGGCGAAATGGAATGAGTACACTGATAGCCACGATTAGTTATTGTTAACAAATGGATTTGGTTGGAGGCTAGGGTCGATTTGGTCTCACCAAATGTTCAATCGTTAATATTCAACGAGTGCATATTTGAGGAGTCTTGTTTGACTCAAATTTCGCCTTTCAAGTGAACCATTCGGTAACTATTAACAAATATTTATTTGGTCCTATTCAACTCTACCATTTGTTAATAGTTAACGAATCTCGTTTGGAATAAATGAATCATTCGCGATCGCAACGTAGATGTGGCAGCCATCAAGTGGTCTCTCCACTAACTACTCTTGGCGGACAGCCAATGAGATCAAAGAGAATCCAGTGAGCTCATTGGTTGAGCTCCATCATTGGTTCCCTCCGAGGGATCTCATTGGTTGTCGCCCAAGAGTAGTTAGTTTAGAGACCACTTGGTGGCTCCCACATCTACGTTGCGATCGCGAATTCTATCAGTGTAGTTTTAAAGATATTCAATTTTTTGTATATTGTTCAATGTCTCAAAAACCATTCATCCGGTTTCAATTATTTTTCAACATATTCGTCTTGATGTCTCCTACACGGAGAGAAATTTATTAGAAAAATTCTAGTGCTAGCACGGGAAAAGAGGCGCAAAGTGACGACCAGGAAAAAATTTTAGTGCCGGCGCTAAACTATTGGGGAAAACGTGAATTTTTCCCCGTATTTCTGTGAAAATTTTACAGAAATCCCCAGAAATTTTACCAGAAATACCAAGAAATTTTACTTTAACAGCACTAGAATTTTTCATAGCCGGTGGATTGTAATTTTTTCCAGTACTCGTACTAGAATTTTTCTAGAAAATTCTCTCCGTGTATAGTACATAAGCAGCAACTTTAAAAATCACTTTTGTTGTTGCCCTGCTCCTGGGGTTTCTCAAATTTTGCAAACGTTATCTAAATGAATTCAATAATATGTGAAATAATCTTTATAAAATTGGCTGCATTTTTTGAAAATTCCACTCCTCGCCCGATTATCCTTACGTGACGAAATTTCAAATTTTGTATTTCAACTTTAATCCTTCATCTGCGAAGATTTATAAAAAATTTTCGAAAAATTCGTACACACATGCGGACGTACACATCCATACACATCCATTCTGAAGCAAAAATTGTTACTTGTTCAATTGTTTGACCCCAAGTGCAATTGCGAAGGGAATTACAACAGTTTCAGTAACAGCTATGTGGACATGCAAATGATATAATTAATCGCGAGCTGACAAGGCTGTTATGTTCCCAGGATCTCTTTAGGGTCCAGGTGAGAGTCCGAGGACGGGAGATATAAGCAGGCATGCATATTATCGCATACCAGGCAAGATAGCTGATATGATATGGAAAGCGCGTGGGCATTGCGCTGGGTCTGACACCGAGACAAATTGAAGTTTTTCCATGGGGGCTGAGAACCTGTCTGCATAGTATTATATGGAAGTGGTTATTGCTCGTGGTAGTAAACAGGGGCTTAAAGCACTCCGTTCGAAAAAGGTAAATGGTGACATTAATTTGGAATTTCCATAGGATTTTCGTAATAACGTTTAGATTATGTATGAATTTTTCTAGATTTTTTTTTCAAGTGATTAACAATCAAAGTGACTTCTTAAATATCGGCTCTTATGGAGATTTTTTCATTTAGCACGAAGCTACATTATCATCTGCGCTGATATAATGCATTTCAATACGAGTGAGACGTTCTTTGCGAAGTATGACCCTCGCGTAACACACGGAGAGAAATGTTCAGTAAAAATTACGGAACTCACAGTTTGCTCATCGATTATGAAATTGACTCAGAAAATTTAAGCGACGGAATCGACTCAGAAAATTTAAGTGACGGTATTATAACTTTTCACAGGATATTCAGGTAATAATGACGGAAATCTCTGGAAAAATTCCGTGATTTTAGGTAAAAATTACGTGACAGTTCCGCAAAATTTCCTACAACCACATTTCACTTCAGAATTGCGGAGAAGATACGTAATTTTTATTGAATATTTCTCTCCGCGTGAGAAATCGCTTTCTTGGCATCAAGAAATTGCCCTCAACTTCAGAACATTTTTTTGACTTGAACAAAAGTTGTTTTACTTGATGCAATATATTTTTCTCTTGAAAATGTTTAAGTCACGAGTTTCTTGATATAAACAAAAAACTTTATTTTTCTCAATGTTTGACTTTGAGAAGTTTGACTTTGGTGGGCCCTTAGTAGATCATGCATTCATGAGTCGACAAATGGTAACAAAGAATTAATTGAAAAAAATCCATCGATTTGAAATGTTCCAAGATGTTGGAAATAAATAACTCGAAAAATGCCAATGAACTATATTTTACGAGGCAGTTCTATGCTCCGTGCCGCATTATTTCTCAATTTATAATCTTTTTTCCCGTATCGTCGTTACCAAGTATCGGCTAATGAAGCCAAAGGGACATTACAAAAATTCCACATTTCTTTCACAACAGGAAATCAGATTCTAATTATAAAAAACTCCGAGTCAATATCGATTCCATGCAGCCCTTTCAGTGAGTTTAGATACCACATAAATGGTATTCCCCGACAGGCTCACGTGATTTCGTACCCAAAATTCCTTCTTTTCTCCAATTTTTTTGATCCTTTTTTTGTCGTTACTCCACCTCTTGAGGTCTCACCATGAGCACCGTATTAGGAAACCTGCAGTCATTGTGAGCGAGCCCTCTCCTCAACGAGTTTGCGAGGAGTAAAAAAAATCATCGCAAAGATGCGACGCCAGTTTTATAATGCAAAAAAAAAAGATACCGGAAAAAATATTAGCCGAGAGGATCGTTTAATGCAAGTGCCCTTGACACTGACTGTGTCCATAATTTATGATGATGAAGGATTATGGAAGAAATTAATATTCACAAATTTTCAATTAACAGAGTTCATCGATCTGTGCGTCAATTAATTTCTCACTGAGAATGGAAAAATATCGATTGATTTTCACAGTTGAAAAACATGAGAAGAGAAAAATGAGAAATTTCATTAAGAATTTTATTGTTCCACGATCCGAGCTTCCTAACGTCATAAATCCAGTGTAAATAAAAACCCTTCAAGGTGAGCTGGAGATGCGTGAATGGGCGTAAGCATGAATGGAAACTGGTGTACGTGAGTGTTTGAAACTGTTCACAACCACAAGTTGAGTGAGAATAAAATCACGTGAATTCAAGTATCAATGAAATTGAAGAAAAGAGCTCGTAAAATACAGGTAATTTTAATTATTCAATTCCAGTTTTCTTTCTTTATTACCTGGAACTCTCCACCAGTTCTTGTTTAATCGAGCAGTCACTAATAAATCACTAGAAATTAATTACAATCGTTCGTTAAAAATGACATCACAAGTTGTTTGAATTGATCAAGGGTTTTTCATAAATCAAATATCAGTTTTATATTTTTAATTAACAATTTTTTCTTTATTACGAGCTATAAACAATAATCTCTTTACACTGAGCGTATGAAATGAACTTTTATACTGCTTTGTAATTTTAATAGTTGAAAAAAAAAGACACAATAAAGTATGAGTAGAGGACGGTGCGCAGATGCTTTCGTTGATTTATGATACAAATATTTCAATTAACAAATTGACTTTCCACGGTGCTTCGATCACATTTTTAATGAGATCCAGACACTTCCAGACTCATTTCGACTATATACAAACGTGATGACTGATGCGAGTCAATTCGCGATTTCAATTAAATAATTTTCAACTTGATTAAAAAATATCCGCAACATATTCACCATTATTTTTATAAATAAGACTAGATCCAGTTAGGCATTAAATAATGTCTAAAATAACTTAGAAAAATATTACAATTATCTTCGTAATAACATTTTAAGTCTCACTCGTCGAAGTCATCATAACAAATGCACTGCAATTACAAAAAGCAAACGGATCCTTTCGATTTACATTTTTCCGTAATCTCAGATTTCGATTATTTTAAGGCACACAATCGGTCTTTGGTTAAAAAAAAAATTATGTACAGTCTCTCCATCTTTGGCGTTTGCCCCCGATCCCCCAAAAAATTTCGAAATTTACAACATCAGAATATGTCAGCAGTTAGCAATTCAACGAATGCACAAGAGTATTCACCCATTCGTTTCATCCTTCTCTCTCTCTCCATCTGTTTTTTCTTCTGCACATTATCCACTGATTGAACTCACCGACTGGCTTATTGGTATTGCCAGTGTGCACTCAGTTTAACCGCAGAGTGACTCGTATGAAGTGATTTACAAGTGACTCAATCAAAATGCTTAATCTTTCAATGCCATGTACAATAGAATATAAAGTTATTTTCATTCCGGCGTAAAACAGCTTATTTACACTCAAAGCCGGCGCCTTTCACATAACTCCAAGCTGAATGAGAGACTGAGACGATTAAATAATTTACGCAATAACCAACGGACACTAGAATATCGGAGAAACAGCTCCAGAGTTGAATGTTCAATAGAAACATTACAAACGTGACACAGAGATCAGTGAACGAACCGTAGTTTGCTCTTGTACTTTTTCTATGATCTATCTGGCAAGTTAAATGCATTTTTCGAGCTTCCATGTGGGAAAATTTTCATTTAGGTGATGAGTTTTCATTCCGAAACATTGATTTCTCTTCGCTACCCAAAAAAATATTTTCAGAATGAAGTCAAGGGATCTAACTTGATGTGAGAAGAACTGAATCATGTCGAGAATCGACTTATTTCTTGCCGTTATCACGTGGGACGTAATTCTGGTAGATTCGACGACTTGCTTCAGGTCCGATGCAACTTGATTGAAATGAATTCTGTAACTTCATTTCGGTTGCATCCGACTTTGTTTTAAGTAGATTCAATGATCTAATTTATGTTGTGTCTTACTTAACTGAAGTAGATTCTACGATTTGATTCAGATTAGGTTCGGGTTGATTCAAGTAGATTCTGTAACTTAATTCAGGTTGGGCCCGACTTGATTCAAGTAGATTCTGCGATCTGATTTAGGTCGGGATTTCCTTAACTCAAACAGATTTTACGAGTTGATACAGGTTAGGTTTGACTTGATTCAAGTAGACTCTGTAATTTGATTCAGGTTGCATCTGACTTAATTCAAATAGATTCTGTAAGTTGATTCAGGTCGGGTCCGACTTGATTCAAGTAGATTCTGCCGTTAGATTTAGGTCGGTTGCAACTCGATTCAAGTAGATTCTACGATTTCATTCAGGTTTAGTCTGACTTCAAGTAGATTCTACGATTTGATTCATAGAATTCATAGACTCTGTGATTTGATTGATGTTGCGTGTGACTTGTTTCAAATAAATTCGATAACTTGATTCATGTCGGGTTAGACTTGATTCAAGTAGATTCTGCGATCTGATTTAAGTCGGGTTTTCCTTAACTCAAGTAGATTCTACGATTTAATTCAAATTAGGTACGACTTCATTCAAGTAGATTCTGCGGGTAATTCAGGTTGAGTTGAACTTAATTCTAATAAATTCTGCCGCTTGACTTAATTCGACTTCGATCAAGTCGTCTTAAAAAATGTACAAAGCAGCACAGCGACTTAATTCAGATCGGGTCTGAATTGATACTGTGACTTGATTCAATTCGACTTGGATCAAATCGCTATGTATTTCCTGCAACAGATAAATTTGTCGGCGTAAATCACGCCGACGGTTCGACTTGAATCAAGTAGGTAACGAACTGAGACCTTTCTTATTCAAATAATCCACTTTTCTCCTTGCAAAAAGGCTAAAACTCGACTTGATGGAGTCACAGTTACACTATTTGAAATCTATTAAAAAATAAAACCAACTAAAATCAAGTCTCTAACTACTTGAATCATTACTTTTTTTTTATGTTCTCATGACATTTCTCCAAATTGGTGAGTCTTCACGTGAGCGGTAACGGTCGATGTTCATCGATCAAATTACCCTCAATATTGGAAATGGGTGAGGTCGAGTGCTCATCACATTCCCCGTCAATCCCCTCCGCTTCGGGATTCTGGGACATATCCCCCACGTTTCCAGGCAAGTAATCCTTCCAACTTCTGAACAAATACCTAGTGAATTTTCTCAACTGCCGAAATTTGCAATAAGTTGCGCCCTCGGCGGACTCCAGCTGTTGCGTCTGTATGAGGAAGCCCTTCTCCTTGAACGTCTGCTCCAGTTTCTCTCTCTGAAGAGACTTCCTGGTCTTCCGTTTTCGCCTGCCATCATCCGGTGTCACAGTTCTCGGACAAGGGGGCGGTGGAATTCGCTCTCCAGTGGCGCTAAGAAACGCTCCAGCCGATGAGCCAGGCTGTCCTGGTGGCTGCTGAAGAGCTTCTCTTGGGAAGAATTCATATCCCCTCATGCTCTTGTCTCCAGTGCCACTGTAGTACCGGAAGTTACCGCCAGAGTCAACGGAGAGACTCTTCTTCTCCTGAAGACTTGGCTTCGCACCCCCCGTGAACTTGAATTTACAAATGCTGACTTCAGTCGCCGGGTTATTATTGTTTTCCGTCGGCATCGGAGGAATAAAAATGGCAGAGCGCTTACGTTTTGTAGGTTGCGCCGGTGGTTGACCGAGGGGAGCTATTCTCTTCGGCCTCGGGGACACCGGAGGCTGGGAGACGGGGGCTGGCGGCGGATTTTGGGCAGGCGTTGGACTTTTATTATCCAACATTGCGTAAATCGACTTGGGGACGATTTTCTGCTCCTTCGGGGATACCTCCGGCTTGACCGGGGTCTTATCACCCTGCGCCATCTTCTGGTAGTATAGGAACTGCGATTGAAGCGTCATCGGGTGGATGAACACTCCTGCATTCGGCCAGTACACGAAGCCCGGGTTTACCGGGTCGTTGTTGTTGAGGTTTTTAGTGTTATTGTTAACTACACTGTGATTGTTGTTGTTCAGGGGATCGGGGCGGGTGGGGTCCACAGCACTGGGAAAGGGGGATCCGAGGCACTCTATGTCCTCACCATCGCTAGAGGTCTCACTTTTCACAGCGCCTGATTCGTAGATATTTCCGTGCTTTCGGAGGAGACGGATTTTCAGTTGGTTTAGATCTTTGATACAAAGGTTCAGAGGCTCATCTTGCTCCCGGTGGTCGTCCAGGAAGTTCCTTCGGGACTCTTGGGTCAGTCTCTTCTCCAGGAGGCTACTTATCCGATTCTGGATGTCCGTCCGTTGGAAAGTGACCGGTGGCGCCGGCTCGCGGTGGCTCTCTGGCTTTTCCTTCGGGGGCTTTCGGTCGTCGTGACCCGGCGTACCCGGCAGGATAGTCCCGTAGTTCTTGTAGATGAGGTGGCAAATGTCCGCCTTCTTCGGCTTTCTGCCTCTCCTTGGCTTACTATTGTCCAGGGTTATCTCACCCATGTAAGGCAGGTCTGAGTACTTCATGGGTGGTCTCGGTGTTGGCTGAGACTGCTGATGATGGGAGTGGGTGTTTGATGCCGAGGTTATGACGGATCTCCGGTAATTTGTGGCTAGTGGTGATTCTGGGTGTTGCGCTGGTGGTGTCACGCGGGGACAGAGCTCCTGCTGCATTGCGGCAATTCGCTGGAGCCAGCCTTGGACATCTGCCACTGGAGTGGGAGTGGATGTTGAAGTCGATGTTGTCGGTGCTGGGCTCAAGACCGAGGGTTCGTGAGCGTGGGGAGGTGATGTGTTCAAGGCTTCTTGCGCCAAGGCTGCCTCGTAGTGGTCCAAATACTCCGGTGGCAGCGCCTGGTGGTGAAACTTCAACTTCCACCGGGACTTCCTTCTTCCGCGACTGGAACCGAAAATCAAGAGAAATATTTTTATGTGAAGTTAATTGATACTTTTTTGCTTCAGAAGGGAAGCATTGTAACTGTTCAAATTTAAGTTTTGGATTATTCGTGTTATAGGGACACATGTTTTTTTATTGATATGTAGTAACCCTTATTGGGTTATTTACAAAACGTTGTACACCAATTTGTTAAAATTTGAGAACAGTTAGCATTTGGTTGTCTGTAGCTACATAAGATTCTAATTTTACATGGTTTTATGAATTCATGGATTATTTTGAAAGGTTCCAGGTTCGTTGACGCCAGGAACGCATTTATGGTGCAGGGCTTTTGGTATCAGAGTTTAATTAGCTTGGATATCATGAGATCTCTTTCGCTATTGGGATACTGGGGGCAGGTCCCCATATATATATATATATATATATATATATATATATATATATCGACCCATTATGATAAATAAATTCTTCTTCAATTGTTCGCTAATGAATCGATGGAATTTAATCTTTTTGTTCCCTAAAATGTAGGTATTATTGAGCCCTATCAATCGCCATTAATGAAAATTTAATTTTTTAAATTATCCAAATTTTTCAAAATTTGTTTTTTTCACGATAACTAAAAAAAAAGGTTCTAAATTGATTGAATGCTGGCTTAAAAATTCGTTCGGATGTCCTTTTGATCGAGTTCGAAGATGAAGGCGATAACAATAATCGTTATTTTGATTTAGTTGAAAATTTACCAAAATTCTGTATTTTTTGAAAATCAGAATTCCCGGGATATCTTTGGATATTGCTTTCTGATGGTTTCTTCAAATCTGATGTTTCAAATCCATTTAATTATGTACAAATAACATTTCTGTAATAACATTTTATCGAAGGGCTGAGGGGAGAGATGATAACACTCAACTAAATTGAAAATCTGACAAAATTAGTTGAAAAGAAATCTTATTCAATTTAATAAAATGGAATAAACAATGAATTGTACATGATAGAGGGAAATGATGTGCAAAAAACCATTCGCTAATTTATTAGCAAAAATAACAATACTATGTGGAATACAAGAGCAATTCCCCACTTGTTTGCTGATGAAGAAGCTCTTTTCATCAACTATGATGAACGCTCGAGGTTAAACTTGAAAGGTTTCTTCTGAAGTCACAACTGGGAGGTCAGTTGCAGTTTGAAATTCTCAAAATTAAATTTACGAATAAAAACCTTAGCTCGACACCTTCCAACCATAAGCAGTAGGTAGATCGGCTACCTTTTGCCGATCGACTTTATCGTGAATCAACTCGTGAGCCGATAGAATCTCAACGAGACTGTGGGGCCCCTCACTCATTGATTTTATCTCTCCCTCTCTCTCAATTTTTGTTCCTTTATTTTCATTTCTTTTGTATTGAATTCGAGGCAGTTTTTTCAGTGGATCCCCGAACCTGTTTTCACATTGCCTGTTATGTCCACCTCATTCATGTCGATTCCAGTTGAATGTACATTTTAACTCTTGCGTACAAACGAGAGAGGAATGAGTAAAATCGAGCGGCTACACGAGGAAATAGAGTATCTATATTGGTTCTTCGGCATTATTTTTGGCATTCAAATGATAATAATTAATCACCTTAGTCTAGATCTGCTGGTGGTGTCATGATTGTTTTCCGTGACACTTTCCGTTGACTGGAGTGATTGCTGTACCGTGGCGGTGTCGTGATTATGGTGTACGTGATGGGCAACTTCGGGCGGTGTAGATGCTGCACTTGTCTCCGTTTGTTGACTGTTAAGTGCCTCGTTAGAACTGGATCTTGATGGTTAACAAGGGAGAAAAAAATATTCGATAACATTTTATCTTCTCCTGTTTTTACTCGAATTTTCGCACATTTAAGGAGTGAGAGAGCGAAGTTGAAGGCAACAAAAATGTTTATATCACTTGAATTGACTTGAAACGAGAGCGAATAAATGATTCAACAGATAAGTCGCCATAAACGTTTATTCTGCCACAAAATATGAAATTCAATGCGTAAATTTACTGCTCTGCTTTCCCGCAAAAATAAAGACGTGAAAAAAAGATAAATAAATGCAGACCCATCTCACTGCTCCATTTCTTCAGGACTCCGTTCCATGTTCGTTTAAATCGATCGTAACTCTTCGTAATTAAATGCAATTCACGTATTTCTTGAAATTGAGAAAATCGATATAAAGTTTTGAACCGGGTCCGGATGATGCGTCTTATCCCTCGCTCTCTCTCTGACAAATGCACGCGATTACTATTCGACGTTTGAATGATCATAGGGAATTTACCTGAGACTATTAGCCTCTCTCGCCCGTTCCTCGTCGTCCTGGGGCTCTTGTTTTACCGCCATGTGGACGAGTGGTGGTAATGGACAGGCCAAGTGCTGGGATAGATGCAGGGGGCTTGGGTAATTCGATGTGTCCGTCAGGGAGCCGTCTATGCCTGTTGACTGTGCACGAGGCACGACTTCCTCAGTCTGCATAATGCCCCCTGAAAAATTAAATTAGACAATATTGTTTAATTATGATGCATTGAGTGGTAATTCTTTTATCATTAAATTTTTATCTTATCAGTTGAGAAGGAACAACCAAAGCTAGGCGAAATACTATTTCAAATATTTAATACTAATTACTATTTTGGAGTTACGTAACATCGGAAATAAAATAGTATTTAAATAGTTGGAATCTAAGAAATACGATTTGAAAATAATTTCAATTGTCAACTGATTCAAATTAGGTTTCATTAACCCTTATTAGAGGGCTACGCCCCCTGCTCGCTCCACTCGCCAAACCGCATGTGACCCTTCATTCAATTTTCATCACCAGAAGTCAATTTGCATTTTCATAATATAGAGAGATATATACGGAGACCCTTATTTGGAACCTTAATCTGACGGTTACATGTCTAAATATCACACGACAAAATATCCCCCAAATGTGGTAATGAGAAATAAACAATGTAAAAAAATATATATTTTCAGAAAAGATACGAAAAAGAGGAACTATCCAGTATACAGTATTAACTTCCAGTACATCCAATCAGAATATTAAATAAACAATAATAAATTAAACATTAACATTCACAAGCGCACACTAAGACATATGCCACTTAAGTACTCGAGCGCATCGTTATTTATATCAAAAGCAGTACTTCGAACGCATAATATTCTAACGCGCGATAATTTATCTCGTGATATTTTTTATTTGTGATATTTTTGGCCTGTGATATTTTTGTCAATAATATTTTTTTGTGATATTTTGACGCATGCTATTTTTTACCGTAATATTTAGACGTGTCACCAATCTGACCTTTATGATCCTTCATCTGACCCTTGTAACCCTTATTTAGAGCCTTAATCTGACTCTTGTTATCCTTGTTAGGACCCTTAATCTGACCTTTAATCTTGTGACCCTTAAACTGACCTACATGACCCTTAATCTAACTTTTAGGATTTTATTTATATCCTTAATCTGACCCTTGCGCCCCTTAATCTGACCTTCGTGATCCTTATTCTGATCCTCGTGACCCTTAATCTGACCTTTGTGACCTTTAATCTGACACTCGTGATCCTTATTCGGACCCTTGTGACCCTCAATCTGACTCTCATGATCTTTAATTTCACCGTTGTGACCCTTAATCTGACCCTCATAACCCTTATTTTGACCCTCATGACCCTCGTGATCCTTATTTTGATCCTTGATTTTGGAGTCTTGATTTCGAGTACCAAATTTTTATCACCAGAAGTCGATTTGGATTCTTATATTATAGAGAGAGATTAACATTTTCATCAATTTGAGGAAACGAGAGGAGGTAGAGAATGCTAATGGTCAATGTTCTCTTGTGCAGAGTGTAATTCAATTGTTTTTGAAGATTGAAAAGACCTATATGAAATGAAAAAAATAGATGGTGATAGGTCGTGGGCTTCGATACCCACCCGAGTCAAGTTCCAAAGATTCAATTTTGTTATTTCATATGTGTGTTTTCAATCTTGAAAAACAATCGTCAACTGATGAAATATGGCAAATTTGAAATAGTATTTACATAATTCAAGCAAGGAACATACCATTTTTTCATAGCATTTTCGTGATTTTTTTTGTTTTACTCGAAATTTTTTTTTTCTTGGAGAAAAAATTAGAACAGAATCAACAATGAAAACTAAGAAACAATCATTAGAAACAACAATCTTTTAAGATATCAAATACGTACGAACGAAATCATTATCATATGAAAAGTATGAATTTTTCATGTAACGTCCTCCTACTTACTCCAAACTTCTATCCGACAATCATGTCAGAAGATGTGAAATGCTATATTAAGTCCCGTCTTTAGTGATAATCACGGCAAATAACCCATGGACGAACGGCGATAATCCGTCCACTCAGCGAATTCTTCGTAATTCATTGTGATTACGTCACCGCGAGAGATCAATGAAGGTGATAAGGGATGCGAAAGGGAATTATTCATAGGAAACAAAACTATTTCATGTAAAAGGAAATAGTGCAGTAGTGAAATAAAAATAGGAAATACTATTTCATTTTCTTTTTCGTTGAAATGAAATATCAAATGACTATTTTATTTCAATTTCAAAAAAACATAAATAAATACTATTTGATCGACCGAAATAGTTAACTTGAAATATATATTTCAAATAGTATTTCATCGTACTGAACCATTGGGAATAGTATTGATTATTATTTTTAACGGAATTTGTTGCAAGATCCAAGGAACTTGTAACTGGCCATCGCTCGAGGGGCCTTCAGCCATTGGGAATAGTATTTCTATTTGATTTTCATAAAATAGTACCCAGCTCTGCGAACAACATATAGCTGATATATGGGAGGATATACATGTACCGCCCACCTAAGGGGTAATGCCAGCTTTATAATTTGTATTTCAATTTGAGTGTAAAAAAATATTTCTAAACGTTGAAGATCGATTATATAGATCTGAAAACGAATAATTAATGCAAAAAAAAATTTCTTTATTGTTCGTTTGCCCGAAAACGCTTAAAATGCCAAAAACAGTCCAGGGCCTCCAAATTTTGATTTTTGAGTAAACCAACGAATTTCTGGAGTTAGTAAACTTTTGGCTAGAAAGAAATCAAATTCTCTCATTATTGCGACAAATAGAAGGAACTTCAATTCTAGAGAAGTTCGATTTCTCTCAATCAAATGTATCTCAAGAAGAGATAACTGGTATTCACTATGAAATCATGTTTATTTGAAAATTAACAACCAAATGATGGTTGGTTCAAATAAAATTCTCTTGATAAAATTAATTTTTTCTGTCAGTGTAGTACGATACTATTGAAATCCAGAATCATGACACTGAAATCAAGAATTTGGGTTATTAACGATAGTCTGTTTCTTGTCTTGTCTAGTCTTCCAGCATCACTACTTTGAAATGCAATTTCTTTTGCAACATTGCAGTACACACGAATGCAGTAAACTAAATACCGATATGAGATATGGAATGTCTGTCTTAATTTATGTGAATTAATTGTTAACTCAATCGATTATCCTGAAACTCCTTTACCATTTTTTTGAGGCTTCTTATGATTGCCAACTAGAGATGCAAAATGACCCCCATTTTTTGGATTGCGTCATACGACCCGAAATGCCGCTCACGTGACGCACAAATTTTCTAACAATGCTGGTCACAAATAATTTGTAAGCAAATTGTTGCCAAACAATCTATATAGATGCATAATGATGGTCATGAATCAGAAAATAGTTCCATCTGTATAGATAAAAAATGACCGTGATTTTCATTGCAAAATGCGCAGTAGCGAGGGGCTGGGAACTCCAAGATCGAGTGACACCATGACTGCTAAATGCAGTCAATTTCACTCGATTACGTTAATGATTTCCATGATTTCATTGAATTTATGATTTCAGCGATTTCAAATGTAATTATCGGTGATTTCATGACTCACCATGATTTCATCGACTTCATCCAACTGAAATCAATGACTTCTGCTCATTGAAATAATTGAAATCTCACCGAACCGAAATAATAATTGATACCAAAGAATTATTCATCAGAACTATTGAATTTATTGTCACGAAATATTGATGAACAAATTATTACTAGTATATCTAATAAACTATGATGACGAATTCTAAAAGTATTTGTTTACTTTGCTCAAAATTCTTTGGTCAATTGTTAAGTTCCCCTTAGCATTAAAAGTTGGAGGTGAAATAGTCTTTTGATACTGTTTGATGTCGATATAACCTTGAACCATCATTGGCTGCGGAAGTAACGTATCTGAATCTTTTTTCATAATATACCAAGATATTCGTAAGAAAAATAATCATAATGATTTTGCTTTATGCATGTAAAGTGAGATTTGGACGTCCGTCACATACATATACTGATTTCATTGATTTCATTGACTGCAGATGACGTCACGAAGTAACTTCACAGTTTGAAATCATGAGATTTCGGTGATTTCAATGATGCCAGCGATTTCATTGATTTCCGACGTGACTGCAAATTGATTTTAGTGGCATGTGACACCATGATTTCAGAAGTTCCGAGCCCCTCGCGCATTAGGCTAATACAAAATGAATTCAAATAAAAATTGATATGTAAGTGAAAAATGGCTGTTATTTTTTCTTGGCCATAAACGCCTCGACAGGTGACGGGTCGTGTGACGTATTTGCATCTTTAGTGCCAACACCTTTCAGATTCATGGATACAAACGTTGGGGATATTGAATTTTAGACAGGGCTAGGGGGCTACCCCCAGCTCGCTTCGCTCGCCAACCCCCCTGTGACCCACATATGATGCCCATCATTCTTATTCTGACTCTTGTGACACTTAATCTGACCCTCGTGACCCTCATTATTACCTCGTGTACCCTTAATCTGACCCATATGACCTTACCCTGACCCTAGTGACCCTTAATCTCACCCTCGTGACCCTTATTCTGACCCTCATGACCCTCATTTTGACGCTTGCAATCCTTAATTGTGGAGTCTTAATTTCGAATACCAAATTTTTATCACCAGAATTCGATTTGGAGTTTTATAATATCGAGAGATAGCCCGTAAAAGCATTTTTTCTTTCAATCAATTTTTAGATATCCAAAAAATATTTTTAAATAAAAAAAATGATTACCGAGACACATAATTACATCAATTATGTAATCAATAAAAAATGTTGAATTTAACGTGTTCCATTCAACTTCCAACGGTCGAAATAAAAAATCTCCTCTGTAAAATCACTCTCCCAACATTCACAAATTGCGAGAAAATGTCCAAGTGACACTGCCACGTGGTAAACGCAGAGTACCACCAATGTATCACGTCGCACGCCTCATTCCAAATGAAACGATATCCCCCTCAATCATTAATGAGCAACGGAAAAAAAAACGAATGCAAAATGCCTCATGTACATTTATAACAACCGGTAAATTTAATTTATAGATGGTCCTGGACACGCCGTTAATGAACATCCACAGGGCACTTATCGCTTTTGCCTCTCGG